ACCGTATAGTGACTGCCTAGCTGCTCAGACACCTGAGGCGGGGACACACACAAACACACGCCTGTTACGCGTGCGATGTGATAAGGATTTCCCGGAAACAAGGGGGAGGCTCGGATCCCATCTGAGTAGGAGTGTCATAATGGAAATGTTAAAAAGCAACCATGTTGCAGCCTGTCTCGCCACCCGAGTAGGCCTGCCATTTGCCAACCTGCTGAACTACGATTTTTAGCGCGTCCTGATTGAGTAAAAGCACTTCAGGTTGTCTACAGTGGGGAATGCACTGAAGTGATGTGGGGGGACGCAGTCGACCTCATTCTCTCTTTGGAATCATTCAGCTGACTGAGCTAGCCAACCTTCTGATGGTGGGAGTAGGTGCAAGTGGCCGAAACCCCTCGGGAGTCGTAGCCATACTCCGTCGTGGTGGATGCTGTATGTCATCAAGTAAAAGCTGGATAAATAAGGCTCGTCTTCGAAGCCACGAAACAGCCTTATCGCCAAGCATTCGAATGAAGCCGCCCTCCGGCAAAACACGGTTTTCTGCTATCTGAAAGGCTGTGATCCAGCGGCTGTGGCTCACGGCTTTGACAATTAGCTGGGACGAAAGTAAGTAAGAGGGTGAACACTTACTGAGCCGTCGATGGAAGACTCAGTGGGGCCGGATCTGCTGTAAGGAACGGGTTGGTTTGGCGCTGGGCAATGTCTGTAAAAGGCTCCGTAAGTTGATTTTCCACAAAGACAGCCTAAAAGGAAGAGAGGGGGACAATGAGTTTGCCAAATAAAACAGGAAAAACTGGAATCAGGAAGGTGTTATTGCCTAGCGCCAAAGACAATTGTCATGAGATGTTCATGTATAAATTCAATCGTAGAAAAAGGAGAGATTATTTAAAAGAAGTAGTCGACTTCGATAGTGATAGGGGTCGGAAACCTCAACTGCTTGCCTTGTAAGGCAAAACAAAAATGACTGAAGTCTCCAACGCGCGCTCCACGCGACCAATCGGCTGCATCTACTAGAGCCCAATTTCGAAAACCGATGTCCAAAACATTATTCAAGTGGGTTCGCCATAATGGTCACATTAGGGAGGATAAGAGCAAACTGTTCAGTCGGTTGGTTGCCCTGAAAACCACGGCTGTCAGCGGGTCATGACGGTTAGAACATGCGATTGGTTGTTAAAAGTGAAGAAAATAAGCACTGGATCAGAGCCTGATCGACGTCACGCTCTCCCGCTTTCCTGTTCTAATATCCAGTCGGAGACAAGTCCACCTCGTGTCAGAGTAAGCTAGGTAGCCGATGTGACGTGAAACCGCCATCCAGCGAGTGCCATGCACTGGCCCGGATATCCCTCAAGTGGGTGCTACCAAAAAGGCCATTTATCGAAATAAGTCGGATTCCCATCCCAAAGGAAAGCCCAACCACACCGTCGGTTGGTAACTCCCAAATATACAGCTTTTAGTGCATCACTATAGGCCAAAAAAGGCATCAAGTTGATTAAAGAAGAGGAAGCTATGCACCGAATTGCTACATGGCCCCAATATTGACCTCACTCCTCCACATTGCAGTACCGCAATTGAGCCTGTAAGCCGACTGGGACTGCAAGTGGTCACAGCGGCTGTGATGTGAACCATTGGCTTACAAATTTGGCAACTAGAAACTGCATTAATGCCTGCTAAAAACTCATTTGACCTCGCGGAAAGACAATACCAGTAACACGCCTTATAAAGCCGTGCAAATTAAAAATAATCATCATCGTCGTCGTCAGTGATGCACGCCTTTACTGCTTTCAAAGGCAATGCACAGAATTTACAAATTAAATACTAAGATCCAGCTAGGGGATTTTCAGTAAAAAAATCTAATATAAAAAAGACGACGAACTAAGACATGCAGGATAAAAGCGAACTGATTATTTAGGCACTGTACCTAAAAGACAGAAAATCCGCCTAAGTGCGGTCCTACATATCTCGCAAGAAACCAACTCGGACAGAACACAATTTCCATCGCCCCAAGGCTAAAGAAATTACAACTGAAACCTTGGCCATGATGTAGTGCTAAATGGCAAAAAGCCGGCGCGGTTGCTTCTGAGTTGCGAGCTCATTAAGTTAATAACTGCTCTGTGCAAACCCACACAAAACTAACAAGCGATATACAAAACTCAGCATGTCCATTACTTGATAAGTTGCCTGCGGCTTCGAGACAACTTCTAAAATAAACCACCACCAGCAGTAGAAAAAACACGTCAGTAAAAGGTCATATAAAACATAAACATAAACGAGTAAATTGACTCATAAGAGTCTGGGGCTACGAAGAAAAAACAACTGTCTGTATTAAAATAAAGCATTGCTTTTCCAGTTTTCAGACCTTACTATAAACGGTCGGGATTCTTTTTAAAAACACAAAGGAATTTCTGTAAGGCCACCTCTTACTACGTAAGGCTTAAAATTCCTCTCTTTTTTCAATTCAAGTACTTGCACGGAAACCTAGCAAAGTAGCTTTGCCGCCCTTTTGTAGAACAAAGCCTGTGAGGACAAGGCGAAATGGTAAGAGAAGTAGGTCACACTGGCTGAAAACAAGGCGAATCTGAGAGGTACGACGCAGTGATGACGCATCACGAACAGGTTGACTGGTAGACAGGTCACACACGACCAGCTGGAAATAGTCAAAACCGGAAGATTTCGGACATAGGCAAATCAGTTAAAAGAAACGCAGTCATGTGCGTTCGAGGTACACAAAGTCTGGAAAATTGACCTATTAGGGTTAAATGAGGCATGTAGGGGAATAAATGTAGCACAGCGAAGAGCGTTAGGTGAAGAGAATGAAAACAAACTGTAAGCACAGCGGAGTCCTTTTGCATTTATCTTTACTCACTAACAGGTCGGGGAAACTCACTGGCTTATCACTGATCTCAATCAATTGCGGTTCGGGCGAAGGCTGGGAGCGCTGGTCAGAATGCTCATCAGAATTTTCGGTCACGGTCAACGTCTGAACACCGTCTATGCCAAGACCACCGTACACCTTTGGCGGATTCTACCAATCCACAAAATAACAATTAAAAATGTTAAGGCTTTAAAAAGTTGTTTAAGAGATTTTATAGTCAACACGAACTCGAAGGTATTCAATATGGACTTAGGAAAAAAACCAGCAAATAACAGTAGAAGGAAAGCAATAAAATACTGCAAAGCAATCACGACAACGTCAAGATAAATTCACACAACAATGCAGCGACCTACGTTTTGGCCGAAATGAATCCTGAACCTCAACTGGTTTGCTCATTTTTAGCAGTATTCAGCGACAAAACCAAACATAACATATTTTGGACCGCACAAGAAATTAAGTAGATTTGAAAAAACTTAACTGAGTACAATTCAGCTATGTCGTAATTTAGGTGGCTAATGAGTTGGTTCTACTCAAGGCATGATCCTTTTCATTGCGGACTCGAGGCCCACCACGTCCACCGAGTTTTTCATGACTGGTTATTCAACTAAATCCTGTTAAGTTATCCACCAAGAACACTTTGGACAAAGTAACTACTTAGAGAAGTCAGTTAAAATACCTTTCCGGTCGAGTTTTATCTTACCACCCATATCAGCTATTGAAGAATTCTTTGCTGACAAAAATACTAATGACAGCGGGTCCCGCAATTTCAAGGATAAAAACATGACATGATAAAAACCGAAGCCTGGCCTTGAAATGTTTCTCCTAAGCCAAGTCCTCTGTTCAGGCTTTGAAGGGTTCTGCAAAAAAATGAGGCAGTAGTACTGACT